ATATACAACTCAGCACAAAAGTTAGATCATACAAGCCATCGTATTCCCTATTGCCATGGATGGATGTGAGAGTTGGACAGTCAAGAAAGAAGATAGGAAGAAAACCAAAGAATTTGAGAAAATGTGGTGCTGGAGAAGAGCGCTGAGGATCCCATAGACAGCCAAAAGCTAACCAAATGAATACATAGGCCTTTTTTCTTTGCCCAGAGCCAAGCCTACTGAAACTGGAACATTTGCACCCTAGTCCCCTGCCTGCCCCCATGAAAATTGGAGACTCAGAGCTGGATCCTGATATCTGGATGCAAGGTCCACCAGAAGTCCTACTGAACTTTGGTCCCTTGTGAGCAAAAGATGCACATTCCTTGTGCAACATTTCACTCCACCCTCAAACTCTCATTATATGTGCAAAGGCTCCAAATAGATACACTTTTGCACTTGTGAGCCAAAACTGCTCTTGGCCATCTGTTTGGAGCCTAATTTTATCTCCATCTCCCTAAAAACGTTTCATTGAGAGTTTTGGGAAAGGCTTTCTCTGAAAGTCTGCTGCGCTATATATAGCTTCAGGAGATAACACTGAGCAATTCTCTGCCTTCCTGAGTGCTTCAGTTGTCATCAGAGTACTTGTGATCTAATTTCTAGTTTCTGGAAAAATGAAGATAAAGAGGTTGCTGGGAGGAAAATGGCCATACTGATGGGCTAATGGTGATACCAGTTTAATTTCTTGCTGTATAACTGTTTTACAAGATCCAGTGGATACCAAAGATTATCATTTCCCGCTATCTCATGCCTTATGTCTGAGCTTTCCAAAGACATTTGGTTGTCCATTGTGGTCATTCTGCCAGAATTCTCAGAGTTTAGTCCAAAAGAGTGTATAAAGAGATAGTAGATGCTGGTGAATGCATTTTGAATTTCAGCTATTTGTCAGTTCAACTGACTCCACTTTGCACGATTAACTATTCTATTAAACACTCTCCAGTTCCATTTTGTTTTAAAAGAAGAAGTTATGATTAATTTATTAATACATCAAAAGGCAGGAGAGGAATGGCATCTGCAGAGACAATAAGTCTCTGCATGCAAGGAAGGCTTTTCAGCAATAGGCAATATATATGGCTCACTTTAAATAACCATAACAACGACAACAACAACAATTTCTTACCCACCTGTTTCCATGGATTGAGGCGAGGAACAAAACAAATCAACATCCAACAACATCAATTAAAAGACACTAATTAATAATATGTGCGGCAGTTTAAAAGGATGAATGAGACATAAACATTTTAAATCTGCAGTGGACATTTTGATATGAGAGCTGGTTGCTTTTCAGTTATCTTGTTCCTACGCTATTGAGGTCTTTATAGGTCAAAACCAGCACTTTGAATTCTGTCTGGAAGCCACTGCAGATTTGCAAAAGTGCAAAGGATGCTGGCCTTTAAAAGTGAACCCTTATGTTCGAGCGATACGGATGCTTTTATCCAGTGGCCCTTCATGGTAACATCTGCTTCCAACATAAAATCCCACCACAGAATCTTTTCTTCAGCTGGGAAGTTTTTGGGCTTACCGGTGAAGATTATTCCCTTTGACAAGGCGCTTGTTTTAATGCGAGCAAATGTCGGCTCTCATTGTTCCCCGGCCTTTGAGTCAGTTTCCAAGGACTGAGTTGCGGATCCCTTGGCATCTGCTTTCTCCTGATTAAAACCCAAGCAGATCATGATTCACAATCAGGCTGACATGAATTTGGGATGCAGCCATCATATGGCAAGAGCTGGGTGATCAAAGGACTTAAAAAGTGGCTTCAGTGATATACTTAACACTTAGAAAATAGAAATTAGCACCTTGCCTAATAATAATAATAATAATAATAATAATAATAATAAATTATTCTGTTAGCTGTAGACTGAATGTGGGACCTTCTGCAGGTAAGGGCAGTTCGAGAGTGGAACACACTCCCTCGGAGAGTAGTGGAGTCTCCTTCCTTGGAGGTCTTTAAGCAGAGGCTGGATGGCCATTTTTGAGGGATGCTTTGATTGGGAATTCCTGCATGGCAGGGGGTTGGACTGGATGGCCCTTGTGGTCTCTTCCAACTCTATGATTCTATGATTCTATGAAATTTTATTTATATCCTGCCCCTCTGTCATGCAATCAAAAAAGAAAGCCCTATGAAATGCGTGGGATCGCTATAAGTCAACAGGGGAATTGATACACACAACTAACATCCCTGATTTAACTTCCTAAGCTTTTCCTGCCGCAGATTAGAGGTGCCATTTTGATGACACGAGGTTAACTGGGCGCTGAATCTACATGGCAGTACAGTCACACTCTCTCAGCCTCAGAAGATGGCAATGGCAAACCCCCTCTGAAGAAACTTGCCAGGATAGGTTCATTTTAGGGTCTCCATGAGTCGGAAGTGACTCAAAGGCACACAACACACAAAGAGTCATAGGACTTAAAGGCAGCATATCCATTCTGATTTTGGAAGCTAAGCAGGGCTAGTTCAAATCCCCACTTAGCAATTGAAATTCACTGGCTGGCCTTGGGCAGGTCACACACTCTCAGCCTGACGGGAAGGCAATGGCGGTCCCACCCCCAAATCTTGCTGAGAAAACCTCACAAAAAGTTTGTCTTGGGGGTCATCATAACTTGGAAACAACTTGAAGGCCCACAAAGACAACACGAGTGTTAAGATTATAACAACACCCTGGAGAAACTCAAGGGATATGCCTGGGATTTATGTGACTCCTTCCTCACTGATTCATGTCTGTATTTTAAACATTTCACCGAACAATAGGCACAGTTTGTTTCAGAGATATTTGGAAGAGCATTCAGAGTAGGTGTTCCATCCACAACAGGATTCTAACCTAACTTGGTCATTATTTAACATATCCTCCTGATTTTGTTGTCTTATTCATTTCAGCAACTTGCTCCTTTAAGATCATCTTCTCTGGCAACCAGAACAAAACGAAAAGACCAGCCCTGAGTAACCAAAAGCACAACAAACAGCCATTCCTTCTCGCCCAAACATAATGGCCTCTTGCATTATGCAGAAGAAGGCATTAAGCCAATGCCTGCAGCGTTGGAATTAAACAGCGGAAGGTGTTGGGAAGGTTTCTCCTTTGCACTTTATAAGGACGTGCTCAGAAACATCCAGCATGACTTCTTTTTAAATATGCTTTTTAGAACCGGCAAGAGAGGAATTTGGGTTTTATTCCAGTGTCAACAGGCTGAGCTCATAGCTTGCCTGCAGAAGGTCCCACATTCAGTCTACAGCTAACAGAATCCCAAGGCATGAAGAATAGCAATGGTCTTTCCCTGCTTGAGTTTCTGCTAGTTTCTGAGAAGACAGCTGTTGGTTAGATGGACTAATAAGCTGATTTCATGCCATGTACAAGCACACTCAGAAGAAGGTCCAGTTTTCACAACTATACATAGAAATGGGAAATACAATGGCATGGACAATTCCAACTTTGGTATTTAGTGATATATCTTTACACTTTAGGATCTTGCCTAGTTCCTTCCAAGTCCTAGACTTCTTCTGATTTCTTGACTGCAGTCTTCACTCTGATTGATGACTGAGCCCAAGCATGGACAATTTTGGACTATTTCGATCTCTTTGTCGTCTACTTTAAAATTATGTAGATTGTGTCAGATGCTCAGCTGTAAACCTGCCTTTGCACTTTCTTCCTTGACCTTCTTCAATAATCTTTCCATTTTTCTGATATTTTCTGCTGGCATTATGGTATCAACTGTATATCTTAGATTGGTGATGTTTGTTCTTCCAATTTTCATGCCTCTTTCCTCTGAGTCCAGTCCTGCTTTTCATATGAAAAGGCCAGTACTGATACACAATCTTTTCTTTTTTCCAGTGTCACCAATAGGGTTATATAACCCATCATCCAGTATTGACACACATATGTCCAAACACAGCAATTAAGCATGGCATCTGTTAAGCATGTCAGCACCATGTCTATATGCATCTGTCTATATGTCCATATGCATCAGAGGAATTAGACTGAAGTCTCGAAGCTCATGTTGCCAACTTCTTTATTTCAGTTAGTCTCAAAGGTGCTACAAGATCTCTCTACATACTGGTTCTACAAACTAACATGGCTATATCTTTGAAGGACCATGTCTAGGCTATACTGTTACAAAAAATTGGGGCAGTTGGTGAGTATACTTACATTCTTGTTCTGTGTTGGTCTCATGTTGTGATGTACTGAACACTCCTAAGAAATGTATCTGGCCTGAGATCCTACATCAGGTCTGCAAAGCATAAATATCCACATGTGGAATTATGTATTGCAATGCAAACCCTTGTGTTACATGGCAACACTGCATAATTGAACCAAGACACCAAACACGTTGTGTGCATCCAGCACAATTACAGCGCACACTCATGTGCGAAAGCACCACATGTGCAGTTCTGTTCCTGCAACCGTGTTGCAAAGCTGAACTGAATGTGACTGTTCTTTATTGGACAAAAAACCCAAAACATGCCCAACTACTTCTGTAGGAGAAACCACTTGTGGAAGACACCAACAGGATTCCAGTCCTTGTTGTACTGAAATCCATTTTTTCTTGCATCAAAACTCTTCAGATATCCCCCACCCCCAATGAAGCAAGAGCTTCCAACCTTACCTTGAAAATGTAACTTTGGGCCAAATTGGGTGGCAGCTTTTTTGGAGAAAGTCCCATCAGACTTAGTAGAAGTTGTTGTTGTTGTGTGCCTTCAAGTTGTTTCTGATTTAGGGCCAGCCTAACACAAACCTATCATGGAGTTTTCTCAACAAGATATGAAGTTTGCCATTGCCTTCCTCTGAGGCTGAGAGAATGTGACTTGCCCAAGATCACCCAATGGGTTTCCATGGCTGAGCTGGGATTTGAACCCTGATCTCCAGAGTTGAAGTCCAATGCTCAAACCACTACACCATGCTGGCTCTTAATGGGATTTACTTCTGGATAAAGATGCCTAGGATATCCCTGTAAGTCTGTTTGGCCAGAGCCGGTTATTTATTTGGCTGTTTCTGCCATGAATAATTCAGCCAATTTATAAATACAGGCCCCTTAGGATTGTGTAATTATCTGGAAATGTCAGGGACAGGAAAGGCGCAGCAGGCCAGGGCAGAGTCAAAAGATCAAGGCCAAGCTTGAATGAGTGGAGACTGTTGTTTTCAAAATGAGGAAAGTATGGTTTGAAAATTTAATTGAGAGCAATGGCTCATTTGTCAATTTGTATGCTGCGCATGGACCTAGGGACAAATGCAGGAAACATATGAAGGTGCTTGGCTTGTGTCATCTCTTTTAGCATGGCTGATGTAGCAGCTGCCTTTTCTGCATGCTTCTTAATAAAACTTCCCATTTTATTTGCAATAGGAATGAGAAAGAGGATGGAAGGGCTTAAACCTTACCATCCTCTTGTCTTCCTATGTAGGTGATTCTTAAAGGTAACAATGAATGAAAATGCAAAGATATCATATCTTAAAAAAAAAATTAAAGACGTTCTACCCTAACATCTTGTGTTCCTCCTCCTATAGGGAAAGAAAAAAGTGAAGGAGAGGAATGAAATCTAGGTAGCATCGTAATCATCTTTAAGGCTACATACATGCTAACATTTCAGAGATGAAAATTGGGGCACATGTGGCCAAGCAACATCAGAAAGTGGTCAAAATGGGGAAAGTTACAAATAAGGAAGAACGCATAAGGTAAGAGAGGTGGCAGCAGTTTGCTTTTGCCTGAGACTACTGGGAAGCACAATGTTCTCCCTTTCTTTCCCTCCCTTGGCTGAGTTAACTGAGCATAAACTACTTTTACACTAAGTGCCATGGTCCCATCTTATAGAATCCATGGGTTTGTCATTGAGGGAGGCACTAGAGTTCTCTGGCACAGAATGCTGAAACCTTCTCTAAACTGCAAATCCCAGAATTCCATGAGATGGAACCATAGCAGATAAAGTGAAATAATAGTGCTACAATTCTGTAGTGTGACTAGACTAACTGCGGAAGGCATCATTTTAGTTTCTCCAGGAAGGGAGTCCCAGAACCTGAGAGCAGCCACCAAGAATGCCCAATCACATATTTCCACCAGACGAACCTATGGACATGGAAGCACTTTTGATATAAATGTGCACATGTGTGGGCCTTTCTACTTCCCAAGTACCATGTTCCATTTGTGTGGCTTTTGTCTGACCTGTGGATTTTTAAATTGTGCTTTCTTCCCTACCTCCCAGCCAAAAATCAGGCTGCTTTGGCCTCCCCTGGGTCCCTATCTGAACAGCAGTACCAAAGAGGTAGGTGGATGGGCACAGCGAGCTTCATTTTAAATCGGCCGTACTTTTATTGATTCATTACAGTCATTAAATGCATCAGCTGAGACTTCTCTCCCTCTCTGTTTCAGTCTTTGTCTCTGTCTCTCGACCTTCCCTAAGGAAATGGCTTGTCTGCCCAGCCTAGAATGGAGTTGGAAATTCTTGCATGTCTATTTTTATTGTGTTCATCTTCCCCTCCTCTTTCCAAAAGGGAGGCACTTTTGCAGACTTTTCACTGAATATTCTCCATGTATTTGTGTAGGTTGTTATTCCTCGCAACATTCTGGAACAACACTACCATGTGGACATTGTGAAGGATGCATAAGAGAGGCCAGGTAAAGTTGTTGCAATTGCTTTCATTTGCAGAGGCTCTACATGCACACAACACACACACACAAAGTCCTTTCCTGACACAATTAATGTTGACCCCCTTCCTGTGGAAACTGCTGAAGAACTTCCTCTGGCCCTGAGTCTGCAGAGGATTTACGTAAATTAAATCTAGACAACAAAGAAATAGAAAGAATAATAGATTTCCCATACTTTGGATCCGTCATTGACCAGAATGGAGATTGCTGTCAAAAAATCAGATGAATTCTAGGAATGGGAAGGGAGGCTATGAAAGAACTAAATAAAATTCTAAAGTGCATAAATATAAAGCTAAATACTAATGTAAGGATACAATCCATTGTATTCTCCATCACTATGTACAGATGTGAGAGTTGGACAGTGAAGAAAGCAGTTAAAAATCAACTTATTTGTGATGTGGTGCTGGAAATAAAATGAAGAAGATAAAATGATCCTTGAACAAATAAAGCCTGAGCTCTTTCTGGAAGCCAAGATGACCAAACTGAGGCTGTCATACAGTGGGCCCTTGGTTTCTGCTGGGTTTTGGTTCCAGGACCCACCATGAATAGCAAAATCTGTAGATGCTCAAGTCTGATTAAATTCAATGGCATACTAAAATGGTGTCCCATATATAAAATGGCAAAATCAAGCTTTACTTTTGGAATTTATATAGTTTTAAAATGTTTTCAAATTGTGGATGGTTGAATCCGTGGATGAAAAAAAATCTATGGATATGGAGGGTCGACTGTACTTTGGCCATATCATGCAAAGACATGACTCACGGGAAATGCTAGGAAAAGTGGAAAGTGGCAGATAGAGAGGAAGGCCACATAATAGATGGATAGATTCAGTCAAAGAAGCTATGGCCCTGAGCTTACAGACCTGAGCAGAGCAGCTGAGGATGCTTGGAGGTGTCTCATTCATGGGGTCTCTATGAATCGACGTTGACTCGAAGGCAGTTAACAACAACAACATAGGAGTTTTGCTTGTTCTTCAAGAGAGACAACGTGTTTCTCGATTACTTGTTGAAGATGTGAATCAGGTCTCTTTCTATGACTCAGTGCAGCAATGAAAATGCAACTGAACAAGCGAGGAAGTTGCAGGATGCTCCTTGTCTGAGAACTTTCTGAGATCATGAGAAGTAGCCTTGAGGCTCCTTCAGAAGAGGGTCAGTGTTCCCTCCTAGGGATAGAGCAGAGGTAGGTCAACCTGTTGTCCTCAAAGCATCATTGTCAGGGTTAATTCCCATGGGGCAAAACCACCAAAATCTGGAAATAGAGGAAGGTCTCTAAATCTGCAGCACATCTCTTTAAAAAAAAAAAAGACTTTAGTCCAAAATAAAATAAGAGCATGGTCGTCTATCTAGATTACCCTTGGTGGTATGACAGGAGGCAGGGGAAAGCTTTGAGCGATTCTTCTCTCACTTAAAGGACACTTACAAGGACAAAGTTTTAGGAAATTAATTGGAGTGCCCAAGGAGAAGCCATTTATCATAGGCACTGACAGTGAGGAGGAAAAGAATATTATGGATGCATTTGTACAGTTACAATTAGGGCTGGATAAAAAGAGGAGTCCTTTTCTTCCCATGATCCTTTCTAGGAGAGGGCAAAAAGTGCCCCCATTTCAACATTTGGAGGGGAAGATGGGTCAGGAAAGGTGACAAAAGTGCTGGCCCACTCAATGCTTAAAGAAAGCATTGCTGTCACTCTTAAATCGTCTTTCTGATGCCAACAGAGCCACATTTTATAGCATCACAGCATCATAATCTTTATATAATCCCCAGTTGGCTGGAATCATTATTCCAGGAAGATCTAATTTATTTTTAATACCACTGTAGTGGCAGCCAACTAGACAATGAAGAGAGAATGAAAAGGCAGGGAATAATGGGAGGGAGGGATGAAGAAAATTCATCAGCCCCCTGAAAATGCCCCTTTAGTTAACTAGTGATGAAAACCTGGCACACCTTTATCTAATTTCAAATGCAGTGGGCTTTCCAATTCTCTGGGGTTAGGGACACGGAGCCTCCATGAAAGTGGAAAAACTAGAAATTTTTAAAAAACACTATTTTTTAAACCTAAGAGGACACCTCTCTAGGAATCTCTAGTCCTCCGGTAGAACTGCAGGGTCAACATCCACCAGAAATTTACCATAGACTTTTGCTGGAGGACCTACAAATGCCTAGAGAAGTGTTCTCTCTAAGAATCTCTAGCTCCTCCAGAGCAACATCGGGTGAAAGATGGCCATAGACTGGCATTGGAGAAAATAGAGATTCCTAGAGAGAACATCTTAATCAAATCTGCAAATGATCAAATCCGCAAAAGTCAAAGCCGCAAATATGGAGGGCCAACTGCAGAGTATAAAACAGAATATCAAATTACTTATTAATATGGATGCTCTTTAAAGCACAGCAGGGAAGGCAGCCCTGGCCAGCATGTTTCAGATCCCAGATCATGACTCTGTAGATCAGGAGTGATCAACTGTGTAGGGGCCAATTCCACCGCCACCCCAGGCTTCACCCCACAAAGTGAATCCAAAAGTCTATCTACTTTCCTATTTCTGATGGATTTGTTGCAACAATAAATGTAAGTTTTACTTTTTAATCTTTCTGGAGCATCTTGCATATTTCTATATCTTTACACCAGAAGCTTATGTTATACTGGGCAATGCTGCCTTCTGCTTAATATAAATACCAACATTTCCTACACATGGAGCAGGAGGTGGAACAAGAAGGTGGTGTAAAGAGTATTTTCATATTTCAAGTGTGGGAAAGCAAATACAGGAACACACAGTGGCAGAGTGCAATGCCATTTCTCTACCTTTCTGAGTACAAGTGAAGGAGTTTTCAAATAGAATGACCCAAAACAACTGTCTAGTGTGAGAAACACCTTGAAGGCACATAACAACCACAAACATGGTAGGCAGCTACTACACAATGTTCTTCATGCTGGGAATACCTGTATCTTTTTAGC